CATTTAAGGTGTTGTACGGAAGGGATCCAGCATTTTGGGAGTAGCAGCACACCCGTGTCTTCAGTAGAGGAGTATTTGGAGGAAAGGGATAAGACATTGGAAGAGTTAAAAAGACATCTGTTGAAGGCTCAACAGATTATGAAGAAGCAGGCTGATGGGCATCGAAAGGATATTCAGTTTGAGGTGGGCGAGAAGGTATTTTTGAAACTCCGCCCATATCGACAGAAAACGATCGCCAATCGGAGGAATGAGAAGCTTGCTCCAAGGTACTTCGGTCCTTATGAAGTACTGGAGAAAATTGGAGCTGTGGCATATCGTTTGAAGTTACCACCAACAGCGACGATCCATCCAGTTTTCCATGTATCCCAGCTAAGGAGAGCCATTGGAAATTATGCTACCAGTTCCGAGTTACCAGGAACATTAACAGAAGAGATGGAAATGATATTGGAACCTTTGGAGCTCATGGAGGTTCGCCAAAAAGCAGATGGAACCACAGAAGTCCTGATCAAATGGAAGAATCTCCCTGACTACGAGGCCACGTGGGAGCCATACGAGCGGATGCAGCAACAGTTTCCTGACTTCCACCTTGAGGACAAGGTGGTTCTTTGGGAGGGCGGTAATGTTAGACCGGTCCTCCCTGGACCGGTCCAGCCGGCCCAATCCAGCGGGCCGGTTCGCGTCTACCGAAGGAAGCGGGCGGAGAAAGCAGCGGAAATCGCAGGGAGGCTAGAGGTGGGACCCATTTGAATTTCAAATGGTTTCTTGGAGCCAAAACGAAGGGAAGTGAGGGCAATTAGGTCCTTTTGTGTCTATTTTGAATTGTATGCATTAAGTAGGGAGTAATGGGGTGGTTTAGGGTTATGTGATTGTTTTTGAAGTTTTCTCTTGTTCTTCTTGTTGATTTGGGCTCTAGATCGTATTCTAGAGACTTGGGAGAGTGCGATCCTCCTCTCGAATAGAGGATCCTTGTATCTTTGCTATTTTCTTTTCATCTTCTAGTAAAATACAAGTTCTTACTTCGTGTTTCTATCATTTTCTCGTGTTTTTCCCACTGTTTTGGCTGATTTACTGCTGTGGACAGCAGTTTTGCTGTGAGATCTTTGACTAAAGTGATTAGGAAGTACTTGAAATCAAATATTTCCTATCATCTCCATACTTTGAAATTCTAGGAAGCCCATTAGCCTACATATTTAGGTTTTTTCCCCTCATCTCCATGTCCACTACATCAACCAATCAACACTATATAGTTTGGGTATTGATGTTTGGCAAACCAATACAAGTGGATGTTGCTACGGCTAGACTCTCTCAACCATTTGTGGCTTGTGCTCTTATTAAGATATACATGTTTATCCCTTCGGAACAGGAGGAATAGATTTGCACTTCTTCGCATGGCTATTGGCAAAAGGTGGAACTTTAATGCTTGCCGCATATTGCAAGCCTAGTGAAATTTTCGAACATGACTATATTGATTGCTTTGAGTCCAATCCATGATTAAAAAAATTATCCTTTAGAGTTCCTTTTATTGTGGTTAGCTCTTTTGACCACAATATCATAGGCATGTTTTTATTTTTTATTTTTTTTAATACTCTTGATAAAATGGAGCTTTCCAGGTTGTTGGGAGAAGTTCCCCATGCCTTGGTCTCCCAACAGGTTCTCATGCTCAAGATATCACATTAAATTCAATTTTTTAGTTAATGCCTTCGCATGTTGCTGATGATTTGTGGGAAAATACTACGCCCCTGCTCCTCCATCTCTACTAGCATTAGTTTTGGATGTTGAGACTCCTCTACCGCGGAGTTGAAGTCCGGGTTATATATATGTCAACCTATTGAGGGTCTCTCTATTGCTCATACTATTTTTCTCCATAGGATATTATAAATGTATTCATCAATACTACATTTGATTGTTCTAAAGTGGATCCAAGCTCCAAGCATGATTTTAGAAGATATTATCTATTTTAGTGGATAAAAGGTTTCAGGTACCAATAAAAAAGTCTTCCTTCATTCTCCTAGATTTACTAGATTCCAAGTTAAACACAATAATTCCCCTGATAATTTTGACATTATGAACTTAGCAGGTGACTAAATTTCAACATACTTCTGTCTTTTTGGATAGACCTTGTTCTACTTTATGTTATCTTTATACATAATATTATGTTCTTTTTATGATGGCATCCTATGTAACTACTATTTCATGTAACTTTTTTATGAGGACATCAATCGGAGATTTCGACATGTGTATCGTCGACGTAGTCGTGGATCGACGGCTACGATTCAGAGTCTGTATTTTTGATGTATTTTCTATTTTATGTTTGATGCATGCATTATTTCAGTTATTTTCGTTTTATTGTAATTTAAATATTAAAATATTTGTTTAGTTTTTTTTTATGCTATCATATGTGGAAAACATTCAATAATCAAGAGTAGGATATACTTGGGCATGGCAAACCTTGGGTGTACCAGCTTCTTGAGTTCTTTTGTTCTTTAGGCTGCTTATTGCCTCTCGGGTTGGGCCTTGACTGCTCTCAGGTTGGGCCTTGGCTGCTTTGGTTGTGAGCTGAAAATTTGGGAGCTACTTGATTCTAGCTCATTATTGCTTGAGTTGATGTTTAGCTCATTATTTGGAGGAGTAATTGCACTATTTAGCTCATTAATTTGAAAAGGTACTCTTCCTTTTAGCTCATTATGTGGATTTGGAAGGTGAACAACTGTTAGTAATCCAACAAGTTTTAACAACAAAAATTGAAAATGCGGATAGGTGGCTTAGGAGAAACATTTTCAAAACCACTTGCACCGTTGAGGGAAAAATTTGCACTCTTATAATCGTTAGCGGGAGTTCGGGTAATTTCGTTTCACAAATCATGGTTGATAAGCTCAAGTTGAAATCCAAACCACTTGCCAAACCTTATAAAATATCTTGGTTCAAGGAGGGAGTGATGTTCCTATAACAAAACAATACTCTGTTAACTTAACAATTGGGAGTTTTTTCAAAGATCAAGTTGTTTGCGATGTCATACCTCTTGAACTATGACATATCTTATTGGGTCGTCCTTGGAAATTCGATCACAAAATCATTCATAATGGGGAAAAGAACACTTACACTTTGATTCAAAACAATAAAGAATTCACTCTTTATCCTCAAAAACATGTTCCTGGTTCGCCTGCCAAAAATACCAAAGTCGCCAAAATAAACACTCCTAAACTGCTACTGAATACAAATGATTTGAAACAATCTGAGGTAGCTTATTTGGTATTAGGGAAAGAAGCTGATTCAACTCTTCAAATTCCTAAAGAAATTCAACCTTTAATTGATGAATTTACTAATATAACACCTGAAGAGTTGCCAATAGGTTTGCCACCGATGAGAGACATTCAACATCACATTGATTTAATACCTGAAGCCACTTTGCCTAATCTTTCTCATTACAGAATGAGTCCAACTGAACATGATGAACTTTTTAAGCACGTGACAGAACTGTTAGAGAAAGGTTTGATTAAGGAAAGCTCAAGTCCTTGTGGTGTGCCTGCTTTGCTAACTCCTAAAAAAGATGAAACGTGAAGGATGTATGTGGATAGTCGGGCTATAAATAAAATCACCATCAAGAATAGATTTCCAATTCCTAGGCTGGATGACATGTTGGACATGTTAAGCTGTGCCAAAATCTTTTCCAAAATTAATTTGAGAAGTGGGTATCACCAAATTAGAATAAGACCTGGAGATGAATGGAAAACTGCTTTTAAAACTAAGGATTATACGAATGGCTTGTTATGCCTTTTGGGCTTTCTAAAGCTCCGAGCACTTTTATGAGAACAATAAATCATGTTTTAAGATCTTTTATTAGAAAGTTTGTTGTGGTGTACTTCGATGATATTCTGATTTATAGCATTCACCCTTCTGAGCATTTTAATCATGTGAGGCAAATTCTACAAACACTAACAGAGAAAAAATTGTACATCAATCTTAAAAAATGTTCTTTCATGACTTCAAGTTTAACATTTTTGGAATACATTGTGTCTGCTAAGGGAATTAAGGTTGATCCTCTAAAAATTGAGGCAATTCAAAATTGGCATACTCCTAAAATTATAAGCGAGGTGAGTGGGTTTCATGGCTTAGCTTCTTTCTATCGAATGTTTATTAAAAACTTCAGTACTCTTATTGCTCCTATCACTGATTATTTGAAAAAAAAATGAATATTAAAAACTTCAGTTCTCCTAAAAATGTAAATACCCAAAATTGTACTACAAGAGGCCATTAGTTGTTGAGAGAGAGAGAAGGAAAACCATTAGGCCTTGATTTTAGAAGCCGTAACAAAGGAGGGAAGAGGGGGAGAAGAAAAAAAAGAGCGAGAGAGATGACAAGTGATTGGAGAAGGGGACATTTTTTAAATAAGCAATTAAAATTCCATTCAATTCCAACTTTCATATAACAACTCCCTCTCTATTTTATAGTGCAATTCAAGAAACATTGATAAATTCATTTAAATTCAAATAAATAAAATAAAATAGAAATTAACCCTTAAAAGTAGCAAATAACACCAAGATTATCTCCTCAAAAGTGGTATGCTCTATAGGAAAGGAAAAGAAATTGAGGAGAAATTTTCAAGTAGTTTCATTGATTCTCTCCACATACATTTCTCTTTCCTCTCCATTGGTGCCTCCATATTTTGAAATTTTAATTTGATATTTGCAATCAAGCCCCTCCTAAATTTAACTTTAAATATTTATCCATCCAGGGTTAATTTTGAAATTTTCAAAGAGCTTCCTCGATCATAAGCAAGAAAAGGAACAACAAATAGTAATAGAGCACGAGTGGCAAGCAAATGAAAGTAGAATACAAGTGGAAGACATACCAAAGAACAGTTAACTATAGAACATAAAAATCAAATATGTTAATTTATACAAATAAAACACTCATTTGCATACTCAAGTTCAAAAATGCAAACCCCAACCAAAATTATTGAAGTGCATACTACATGAAAAGGATTCATATAAGATTCAAACCTTTAAAATCAATGGGAGGGTGGACATTTGAAGTGAAGGAAAATCTTTCAAGTCATTGTTAACCGTATGGAATGATTCACCTGCACATTTAAGAAACAGTCATTTCTCCATTAGCCGTACAGCAAATCTCCAATACCGTCACAATTAACTATAAATGTTAAAACATATTCCTAAACGATAAAAGGTAAAAGTCATCAAACATAAAAAAGAAGTGCATATAAACGGTCTTAAAGAGTTATGCTTGGCAAAGAACTGAAAATGATTTGGCACAAACTTTTTTTACCAAATGCTAAAGATTTCATCTTCTAAATTCATGCCAGCGTCAGGAAGCAAGTTACAAAAATCTTCACAAGGATCACAGTGGCTTCTATAATCATAAATTTGGCACTATCTTATTGTTTGCAAGTTAACGCTAACATTTTAATACACTGATTAATTCCTACAGTAATCCCCATAAGCATATTAAATAGTAGTCCAACTCAGTATTATACTCCAAGATAAGAAGAGTAAACATCTTCATAGAATTATCATAAGTTTCATCAGAAGTTTTAGTAAAAGCAGTTTATAATATGAAGATCTTCAACTGCAGCTACAAATTTGTAAGCTTTGCATGGGCAATTTTCAGTACTACCTGCATTGAAGGAATCAAATTGATAAACTTGGTTGCAAAAGGTATAAGACAAACTGATGTGAAACATAAAAGGAATTGCAGGAATTTAATAAAAATTTTGTTAAACTTGCTAATTTTAAAATTAATGTTTCACAAGACTAGATTCTAGGATTTCTTAGTTGTTGATGTGCTTTGACATACAGTTACAAGCTAGATTAGAAGGGCGATTTAAAATAACAAAAAAATTATAATAAAGCTAAATGCATAAATAAAAGAAATCCACATGTTAACAAATAGAAAGTTCACCTTGAGTTCCCCTCACTCTCACTCTTGAGGGTTGTTTTAGAGGAAGAATAATTTCAAAAAACCGAATGACGCCACTAAGAGACAGAAGACGCCTGCAGTACTGCACAAAAAAATGCTAGCCGGAGGGGAAGAAGCCGGTGGATGTCCAATAACTCGCCATTATCCAGAGATTTGGTGCTAGTCGATGGAAGACATCAAAGCGAAGATGATCCGGTCGACGTAGTCGTCAACGGTGTCGTCGATCTTCAAGTTGAGGTCGAAGAAGGATGATCTCAACACGTCTACTCATCCTTGATGATCGTATACGAATCTGTGGTCTCTTTCAGGATCGGTCATTCATGCGGAGAAGGCCGGGTTGCATAGCTTCTTCCATGGGGATGTATGAAATAATGGAGAAGAGAGGAAGAGGAGGGGAAGGTTGGAGAGGTCGGCCAAGGCTAGGCGAAGAGGCTTCTTTAATTTCAGTTTTTCATTTATGTGGGTGGAGAGGCAATAAATTAAAATCTGAATTTTAATTTCAAGTTTTGAATGGAAAGGGAGGGAATAATTTTGAAATTCAAATCTCCCTTAATAAGGGAGTAAGTAGGCGGCCAACCTTGAAGAAAGCCGACAAATTTTTGATAGCTTAATAGGGAGCAATAATTAAAAGAGAGAGAATGTGGGAGGGGGGGGGCGGCCAAAGAAGGGAGAGAAAAGGGTGTCACATTCGATGTATGTGGATCCTTGCATTAATTATTGATTGGGGGAATTAAATCTGAATTAATTTCATATTTGTGATGATTGAAAACTTCCTAAAATAAGAAATATTAATTAGGAAAGAATTCGAAATTCAAATTTCTTTCAATTCGAATTAGGATACTTTCCAAATCAATAGTGGGCTAATTTAAGAAAGTAATGAATGTAGGGGAAGGGAGCCAATAGCTAGGGCTTGGGAAAGAGGGCTTAGGCCAGCGGCTAGGGGTGGAGGAGGAGGGAAAGGAGGGTTGGCCGACGGTAGTGGGGAATTAGGCTGGCAAGTTGGGTGGAGAGGAAGAGTGGCCGGTGGTGTGGGAGGAGGGAAAGGAGACTTGGTCGGCGGTAGGTGAGTAGAAAGGATGGGGAGGAAGAAAGGGAAAGAGGAAACCGAGAGCCCGGACTCTTCCGGCGGCTGTCGAGTATTACTTTGGCTCTCTCCTAGGGTTCTCTCTTCTCTCAAGAGCTCACAAAGAAACGAAGAACAAGAGCTGAAATTTCATTCATCAATCATCATCCAATACAATAGTGAGGGCTCTCATATATATAGGCCTCAAAATAAAAGAAAACACAAAGACTCAAATGCCCTCAGGACTACAACATAAACTAATCCCTCTCAAAGGTACAATAGTAAACCAGAACATAAATAAAAATAAAATACATAAATGCATCATAAATAAAGACTTTGAATCGTAGCCGTCAATCTATGATTCCTCCGATGATAGACGCGTCAAAATCTCCTGTTGATGTCCTAATCACAAACATTTGTAACAAAAGGGGATGGATCAATAGCCCAAAAAGTTTATTTTTTTCACCAACTTATAATATACAGCACTATATAATTAAGGAACCCATCAGAAAGAAAAGCATACAAGAAAAACATAAGATAATAGCATGACATTCATGAAATGTATCTCAAGAAAGGAAAAGGTGATGTCAGTCAAAGTGGGCACCATAAAATTAAGGCACGTTTTAGAGACCAAATGAGAAAAAGTGGTCCATAAAGAAAGAAATGGCTAGAAGTCAATAGACAACAACAATAACAATAAGCTCTTATCCCACTAAACAGGGTGAGCTATGTGAATGTTTTTTCTTCATTGTATCCTATTAAGAGTAAATTTCCATTTAAATGTAATAAAAAATATCATTTTTAATACTTTTTAATCAAATCTTTTTAGGTCTATCTCTATCTTTCTTAACATAAGTCAACTCTAATACATCCACCCTTCTAACAGGATCATCGGAAGGAAAACTTTTTATGAGCCAAAATCATCTAAGACGGCCCTCTCTAATCTTATCTGCCAAATGAGCTACTCCAATATTTTCACATATTCACATATATACTCATTTTGCATTTTGTCGCTAAGTGTAAAGCCCCATCCGCCTCAACATCCTCATATCTTCAACACTAAATTTTATGTTTTTCTTTAATGGACAACATTCTGCGACAAAAAGCTTTGCAGGTCTCACCACCATCTTATAAAATTTTCCATTAAATTTGAGATGTATTTTTCTATAACACAACAAACATGATGCATTCTTTCACTTCAACCATCCAACTTGAATTCTACTAATAATATCCTCAAATATTTCACCATCGCTTTTTACAATAAATCTGAGATATCTAAAACGTGCACTTTTAATGAGTTAATCACCCAATATCACAATCCCACCACAACATCTATTAATATTAAAATTATACTCTATATATTAAGTTTTAGATCTACCAAAAGAATACCTTAAGACTCTAAGGTTGGCATCCATAATTCAAGTTTTTCAGCAAATTCCTTTATAGTCTTATTGATGAAAACATCAGAGATCAACGACTACGATCTGGAATTTTTTTGTGTTTTATGTACTAATTTATTTATTATTTCTATTTTTTTTCCAATTTTACCCCTAGGGGTGGTCATGTGTGTTGTAGCCCGAAGGGCATTTTAGTCATTGTTTCTTTTCTTTTCATGAGACCTATTTATAGGCTAGTTCTCTTGTATTTTTGGTTAAAGATGATGAATAAAATTTCTACATTTTACTCTTGTGAGAGTTTGAGGGTTCTTGGAGAGAACTTGGAGAAAGTCCCTTGGTGAAGGGCAACAGATCACCCACCAACCTTGGAAGAGTCCGGGTTCATTGTTTTTTATATTTTCTTCCCTATCTTTTTTTCTCTTTTCCCCCTCTCCCTAGTCGTCTACCTAGGTTTACCTCCACCCCATAGCCGCCGACCACCCCAAGCTCCCAACCCCTTAAAGCTGTCAGTCACTCATACACAAACTTCCCTTTTCCACCTCCACACCACCAAGACATCTCCCTCCCAATCGTTGCCGCCGGCCAAGCCCATCCCTAACCATTTATTTCCTTTCCCTAACCCGTCAGCCATCACCACAGCCCCAAGCCACCGGCCCCTCCACCGATTACTCTTGAATTTTGAATTTCAAAATTCAAATCTACCTTAATTACTTTCCTAATTTATCTCACCAATAATTTGTAAAGTTACATCATGTGAATTCAAATTTATATTTGAATTTTAAAGCTTTCCCTATTAATAAACTCAAATTAGGAAACCTCCCAATTCTAGTAAATCTGAATTCAATCTCAAATTTAATGATCATCACTAATTAAATTCCTCCGGGCCCACATACATTGAACCTAGACCTATTAAACCCCTCACCATATGGCCGGTCCCACTCTATCCCCTTTCTCTCTCCACTTTGCCACCTAGCCCTAATTAAACGCCTCTTAATTCCCCTCGGTTGTCACCCCTCCTTCCCCTCTCCTATCTATTTAATTTCCTTCCTTAAACCCTCAAATCAAGCCCTCACTAATCTCTCCTAAACCTGGCTGTCTCCATTGGAGTCCACAATAACGTTTCCCACTTATTTTCAGAACAACCTGCTAGCTGTCCATGCATTCCAGCAGGAGCATCCTGCTATCCAGAATTTCTGGATAGTCTAAACTGGTGCCAAGGCTCTCATAGCAGCTGTACAGAAGAATTTCAGCAGCAGAAACAGCAGTTCTGTTGCTCCAAAGTCCTCCAGCTTTTGCCCCTATTCCCCGAACAGGATCCAGGTTGTTGTCCCGAGGAAATTCAGCCAAAGGAGGTGACCGTCCCGACTGGAAAGACCTAGTTGGTTCCCCAAAGCCCCCAAACCCATGATTCGGTGAACTCTTTCCCTCACTCTTTTATTTTCCTAACTTTCAATTGTGGAATTAATTGATTCGCTGAAATCGTGTTAGTCCTCCGCTAAAGCCTAGTAAATTATATAGTTGTGTGAGGGATCCTTCATAGTATTAATCTCATTTTTAGTCTAGGGATTTATTGTTAAAAATCAATCATGTATGCAATGTTAGATTATATTGACTGTTTTATGATCTTAACTCATATGCATGTGATTTAGCCTAAGCTTGTCTTACCACTCTTTGTGTTTTATTTTGTAGTTTAAAATCCATATAAAAATATAATTATTGTGGCTCTTTAAATATTAAGCGTACAAATTTCTTAATAGAATCATCTATGCATTTATGTATTACATCATCTTGATATCAGAGCATGGCTAGCATGTGTTACATGTGCTAGAAGTCATCCTACGAGCTTACCTAACCATACCTAACCATTCTTATGTAGGGGTGTCAATTCAGATCAACGGGTCGGGTTCAGGTCAAACCCAGAACTGACCCGGCACTATTCGGATCAACCCGAACCCGACCCATTTTTAAAAACGGGTCCGGTTTCCAAACCCGACCCGATTCGGTTCCGGGTCAACCCCACACGACACGAATGACCCGAATTTGATCTAAAATTGCTAGTTTTCAGGTCAAAATGGGGTCAATCTTCAATTTTCGGGTCAAAACGAGTCAATCTCAATTTTTTGGGTCAAATATGAGTTTTTGTGTCAATTTTGGGTTGCTGGGTCAACTCGAATCCGACCCGATTTTTAAAACGGGTTGATTTGTTGAACCCGAACCCGACCCGTTTCGGGTTCGGGTTGACCCTAACCCGGATTTTTTCGGGTCAGGTTCGGGTCGTGTCAAAAATTGACACCCCTATTCTTATGTATTGTTGCATACATATCATCATTTAACCTAGTTTAAATTACTGTTATGCTTGCTGTCCACATCATTCCTACACCATATAGCGAGTCAATAATTGTGTTTTCTCCTTATAGAGTGATGTCTTTTACACCCAATCTTCATTAGGTATCACTTAGCGCTTCCCAATAGACCCGATAAGACTTCAAAAGAAGTTGAATGACCTTGTTATTCTAGTGGGCTCTATAACTAAAACCATGAAGGAGAAACATGTTGACTCTCCCCACTCTAGGTACGTGTCTCATTCAGTCAATCATGTTAGTCGGAAGACTACCCACTATACTTATCAACCTAGTCTTGAGTCCAAGCCGCAATAACCTCACTTAGAGTCTTATAACCGTATGCCCACCTTTGATGGTTCCTCAGATCCTTACTACTTTAAGGAATGGATTAAATAATTAAAAGACTATTTTGAATCTCGTTATATACCTGAATCCTGCCAGGTGAGCATTGCTAAGTCTCGCCTGAATGGTTGTGCTCGTCAATTTTGGATGAGGTTGAAAGATCATAAAGAGTCTCGTGGTGAATACCCTACTTACGATTGGAAAGACATGAGACGAGAACTTAGATTAAAATATATTTCCCCTAGTTGTAGCCAACCATCTGATTTTAAGATTAGGTCACCCCCTGTTCATCAAACTTTAGGGTACAACATTCTCAAGCACCCTACACGTGAAAGTCAGTCCTACTCACCTTTTACACTCCAATATGATACCGTGACTCCTAGTCCTCACCAAGCGGTGGTTACTCAGTTCCCTGCCTCTGTGGTTACCCCTAAATATGTCCGACATACCACTCTCACTCACATAGTGGCTCCAACACCTAGTGATCTTCATCTGGAACACCACCCTGCTTCTTTTGTCGGGACAACCCATGGACATCACTGTGATGGAAACCACCCATCCCTTAGTAACATCAGGGTTGCTGCCCCACCCAGTAGGTTTTCACCTAGCCTTGATGGTCGACCCTCTATTGGGTCTTCTGTTGGATCGGTCCCATATGACTCCCCACTTAGGCCGACTCCTAGCCATCCCAGTCCACCTTGTCTGAGCATGCATCCTCTCTACGTGGTGGATCCCGTTTACCTCACCTCGTGAGTGACTTTACCACCTGTCAAATTAGTAAGAATTCTAAGGCTACCCAACCTTTGGTTTCTCCAGTCTTTGACCCTGCAAGTGTAATGTTACCCAAAAGAAGCATTACAAAGGAAAAGTCCCCTAAACCTGAGGCTGGGTGCATCCATTTCGTTGATACTAATAATATCACTGATAATGAGGACTTCTTTGAGGATGAAAGTTAAGTCATTGAATTAGACTCCCTGCATAATTTAAACCCTAATGTAGGAGATTTAGAACCTTTAAACATTGATACCTTAGCCCATCCTGATCCTAATCTCATCAAGGATATTCCATTGGATAAGGTCTGTCTGGATGATATTAATTTGATCCCGAAAGAAACTGATCTAACCTTGAGCATATTGAAATTGAATTCGGAAGACAGTAATCTGAATCTGAATTATTCTGAGCCTAATTTGAGAAATGAGCATCCTCTTGTTTTATTGGAGTCTATTTTAGGAGTTGCTCCTTTAGATTTACATTTGAAAGAGTGTGTCTATCTTGATTGAACTTATCTCACCATTCCTTATTTATTTAATGATGAAAAAGGAAATAGTATTATGTGATCTAATGGCCAACAAGTTTCAACATGGTAAAGCTAATGATTTGTAAAGCGCATTGACCATTTTAGTTGATTTTCCAGTATTAGTCAAGTATACTGGAAATTTAAATGCATGTAATGATTTTCAGTTTCATAATTACTAGATAAAATTGTGATACTTTAATTTTAGTGGGAGCTTCATATCTTGCCTTTTTATATATGTATCCCCAGCCTCGCACATATAACTGTTTAACGTCAATAAAAAACGGAAGGTTGTTTAACTTATGTAAATTTTAGTAAATGTTGAAAGTTTTCTTGATTGTGCACTTTGGCAACTTGGTCTTCTTAATGCGTTCATAAGACTTCATGTTCTATTCACCACTAAATTTGAATTCTCATCGAAGGTGATGAGCACCAAATAAACAATAGATGACGTGCAGTAACCCTAAGAATATGAATGAGCATGCTTTAAATTCAACTCAAAGCCAGTTAGCTATACATTTGTAAACAATATAACAGTAAGGAAAACCAGTAAGTATCTCAAATCACTCAAATTGCATTCATGTTTTCAAGTTCAGGTATGATAAAAGGAAAGGTGGTTTATTTTAGGTGGTATACCAATAAATAAGTCGTCTTTGATATTTGTATTACAAAAGAAATGAATGTCACGTGATAACCTTCCCAAAGCAATGACAACCCAGATTAATATTTTGAGTTCCAAAACAAAGACCTCGAGCAATATAAGTAATAAAACAAGAATTGTACTTACTACTAAGACTATTGAAATGGAGATTGCGCTGCACATTGCATATGTTGTCCCTAGCAAGGAAAAAGGAAAAAGGATGTGTATCAATATCCACAACAAAGAACTCCAACTATATTAAGTGCAGATGTTAATGTTAACCATATATAGGAGCATCCTGCAGCCTCTTGGAAGCTAAGAGCCAATTCTGTAGAGATATCTGGATCTCTCCAAGAGATAATTGTATCTAAAAATAAAATAAAAAATAAAAAGAATGTCAATTACTACAAAGTAACATGATTGGAAAAATGCTTAACACCACCACAGCTGATATGCGAGTGCACCTTCTTGCCTTCTATAGATTTCATCTGATGAAATACAGTGCACAAGTAAGGTATCATTATCTTCTTCATCAATAACAATCAAACCAAGTTGATCCTCAGACCTCTGAAAATCGTATCATCAAATTATAGCATGGAAAAATAAGCTACAAGATAGCAAAACAGCACATTGGGAAAGCCAAAAGAATTTAGTCAGTGTTGCATTCCTCTCCCAAAACTTAGGGTTTATTCTTTCCCAAAACTTCATCAGACTTTAGATAAAGGGCATTGTGGCGTCTCTACTTTCATGACATAAACTTCACAACTGGAAAGAAACAGTAGATTTACTAAACATGACCATGCATTATTATTTATACGCTTCTTTGAACCACTTCAACATTGACAACAACTTGTTATACCCACTCAAATTTCCCACAATTCATTCATACAACATAAAGTGCGACATAACTAATTAACAAAATAGATAGCAAAATACCACATTGTATAGCTCTAATGAAACCGTGGTAAGGAGTAGATAACAAACCAAGTTGACCCTCAATGCTCTGAAAATCATATCATATATAGCATGAAAAAATAAACCATAAGATAACAAAATACCAAATTGGGAAAGCCAAATTAATTTATCTGGTGGCATTTGCCTCAAAAAATTAGGGTTCAATCCTTTCTAAAAATTTCATCAGACCTTAAATAAAGGGCATTGAAGCATGGAGCAACACTTGGTACACCCATTCACATTTCCCGCAATTCATCCATGCAACATAGAGTGCAACATAACTTGTTAACAAAATAATATATTTAAGCTTATACTACCTACGACAAAAAGAACTCTTATAGCATGCTGATGTGAAACATATGTGAATGGATGGTGAATTAGGAACTTGCACGCTTGATCTAGAGAACAATATTATTTAAAAGCTTTTAAGCGATAAAACGACGAGATAAAACACGAGCGTGGTGTCATAAGTTTAGGCTAAGTCACATACATAAAAGTTAAAACCACAAAAGTAATCAATTACTCTTAACATTGCATGCGAGGTAGGTTTCAATCATGAATCCCTCCACTAACAATAAGACTAGTCACTACAAGATGATCCCTCACTCAACTCTTCCAACTTCTAGGCTTTAGCGGAGAATAATTAACAAGCTTCTTATGAATCAATTAAATCACATAGTAGGATAACTATGAAGATAAGAGACTAAGGGAAAGAGTTCACCATTATCAAGCACTAGGTAGTAGTTGGAAGCCTCAGATCAGCAGCATCATTAGTCTCCAAAGTTAGGACAGCAATTTAGAATGACTAAGGAGTTCTTGGCAGCAGTTGGGGGCCTTCCTGTTGAAGGCGTGGTGCAGGGGAGCCTGCTGAACTATGTGGACAGCAACTTTGGACAGCAGTTTGGCAGCTCCTGAGTGGTAGACAGCAAGTGAACCTGACTTGGCTTGGACAGCAATCGGAAGGCCCTGGACAGCAGCTTTCTAGGTCCTAAATCTCAGGGCAGCACTTCGAACCATTCCAGATTTCTGGACAGCAAGTGGAAGGAGGGGAAATCGGTGACTTTCCTCTCCGGGTTGCACAAGAACTAATGGATTTTAGTGGGGAATCCGTGGGCAGCTGTGGGAGAAAATATTTGGGATCCAGTACTTGCTTAGGTGGCCAATATAATTAAATTCAGATTAAGTGAAATTGGAGGGATGAATTTGAATTTGAATTCAAATTCTAATTGTGAGAATTAAAGTGGATGAGAGGGAATTTAGGGAGAATTAAATGGGGAGCAATTATGCAATAGGAGAGAGAAAAGTCTCATGAAGGGCCAGCCACATATAGAGAGGGAAGAGATTAATTGTCATTAGTGAGTGGGGACCACAACACTAATCAAAGATTTATTAAAATCTGAATTAAATCTCAGATTTTGTAAGAAAAGGAAAGTTTCCAAATAGGAGGTCTATCAATTAAGATTAATTTGAATTTCAAATTCAAATTGAAATTCAATTAATATGATAGCCTAAAATCAAGGAGTTATTTTAGGAAAGTAGTCAATGCTTCATGAGAAATTTGGGGAGAGAGGGGAAAGAGTTTCCAAACTTAGGTGGATGATGTGGACAAGTATTTTGAAAACTCCAAATTAAAATAAATTGAAATTGAATCAATCATGCAAACTTTCCTAATTTGGAATTCCAAATTTGGAAAGAATTCAAAATTTGAATTCTAAATTTCAAATTCAACATGGGATGAGGGAGGGGAGTTGGCCGGAAGGGGAGGGGCGGCGGGAGGTGGTTGGCCGGGATGGTGGTGGTGGCGGGCGGCAAGATCCAAGGTGGGGGAGCCGCCGGCTAGGGTTTGGGTGAAGGTGATTTTGTGGAGCTTCTAATGAGAGAGAGATGGTGAACGAATAAACATAAAATAAACTAGAGAACTCACCAAGAGATCTCAAAGGAAGAACTCACTAAGAGATCTTGTTATGCACTCACAAAGAGAACAAAAGGGAGCAATTTTCATTTCATTCATCAATGACTAGTACAATGCATGAGGCCTCCTATAAATAGGCCAAAATAAAACAAAAACTAAAAGACATAAATGCCCTCGGGGCTACAATATCAAATGACCACCCCTAGGGGTAAAATGGGAAAACATGAAAACAAAATAAACTAGTACATAAGACACAAAAGAAAATAATAAACTCCACATCATAGCCGTTGATCTTTTGATGTCCTCATCACATGCAGTCCAATGTTTTCTCAGCCAAGATCTTCAAAATCAATACCTAAAGTATTGGCCCAATAGTGCATCCCATGAAAAGATTAAAACAGCCCACTGAACGGTATTTAACCCAAAAAGAGGAATAAAAAAAAGGCAAGACAATCAAAAGGAAAGGGGATAAAAGAGAGCATAATGATATCATGACCAGCAAACCCAGGCAATCTATTCAATGATTTCGCCTCGTCTATCAGGAAAACCAACTCTTTGAATTATTTTATTAGATGATTTTGTCTTTTCTAATTTGCAATCCAAGATTTACTTGATTTTCTACCTTCTGCAAATACTTCCTCTTCACTCGTAGGATTTAATTTGATGGCTAGGTAGGATGTTTGGATTCAACGGGTGGGGTTGATGTGCACACACAGAACAGCTTATTTTGTTGTACATGGGTGTTTCTGTATGAGCATGCATGTGTTGGAGGGTGGAGGGAGGTTGTGAATTAAGGCTTGGTTATTTTTTACGCTCCCATTTTTGCATGGGGGAAGATGCATGTCTTATGCACAAGGTGGGGTTGCAAGCAAGAATGGGTAGTTGTGTTTTAAAATGTTGTTCTTCTATCTTTAAAGGATGAGTAAAAGACGCCATGCAATTTAAGCAAAACCTTACATGTTGTCTCATAGTGATGACAGATTTTCTAAATGTCTATCTTTTATCATTGGATGATGAGGAAATGATACAAAGCCGCTCGAGCAGTACATTCATATAGTGTGAAAGATGCCATGGTGATTTATCAATATCATCTGAATCATTATGACTATGGTATTCATCTTATGCAGTACAAAAAGTGCATATATAATTAATTGTCTTCTATGTTGCACCGATACGGATATGGAGGCACGGATACGACATGATACAGATATGGGACACGTCAATTCTAAAAAAATACATGGTACAGGTACAGCACGGACAAGGCATTATAATTTATAAATCATACATAAAATTTAAGAAAGCAATTAAAGCATAATATTTGAAATTACAAAAAAAATGAAAGCAACATCATTTGTAGCCTTGTAGCTTATAATATCAAAATAAAAGTAAGCATTAAATGTATAGTACAACAACAAAAGCATAAACATAAATTGTCTAGCACATGAAGTTTCAACTATCCAATAGAAGGAAAGATATGATTAGTTTCTTCAGTGGTTTGTCTTTGAACTTCTATATCATCTTCAATAAATATCATAGCTTCTAATTCAGACTCATCAAGTGAAAAATTAACAATTTCTAATATTCTCATATCATCTAAAGACTCAAATCCATCTCGGAAATGAAAGAACCTCACTCGCAGCTGCGGAAGTAAATACGACGTGTCTTTTTTTCAATGGTAATGCGTATCGGATACGTGTGTCCTTTTGAAATTAAATAGTTTTTAATTGGATACGTCTTTGCCGTATCCGACACGTATCGGTGCCGTATCGGAGGCATATCTGTGTATCGGTGTATCGGATACATCACGCCTTCATAAATAGGTGTATCGGTGCAACATAGATTGTCTTATTTGTATTACTAAAAAAAAAAGAAAATGTAAGCCTTTGAGACTACAATTTAGGTGATGCTGCTTCTCAAATGCTAACTGGTAGTGGAGACTTGTCTAAGATTATATTAAGTAGACCCGGCGATTGCATAAAATATGTTAAAGATGTCAATATATCAAGTTTATGCACAAAATTTTATGTCAAAATCGGATTTATATTTCTTAGATATCAGTATCTTCTTTAAAAAAGATAAATAATTTAGATATTTTTCTCAAGCAATTTTGCATATGAATGAATTGATGGTTTACGTCCACTTAAAATTAAATAAAATGTCAATCTAATGTACAGAAGGCATAAGAGAATCCATCATAGAGTTTAGAGGTAAAAATCGAACAAAACTTTATAATACAGTGCATTAGATGAAGCTACGTGATATCCAATGAACATATAGAAGTAAGCTCTACATGAGAAAAGGATACTTCAAAATGAGGTCCATATGTTACATCAAGATTTGAAGTAATGAAAACACCACAACTATACTAGTTTACTGTCATCTTAATTGATAAATCACTCCACAAAAGGTTCTACACTTTGAGTAGGTAGGACAAGACATAAAAAAGGAAATCATAAATGGTTAAACAAGAAGAAACAAAAAATTGTGCATGAGACATAAAATGATAGCCTAGTTTACAACAACCATCAAGAAACATGTTCATTGCATACATGCTTGCAATTACTTTCATAAAGATACGCACAGAGCTAAGGTCAAATCATTCACTCATTCCCATGACTAATTTTCCGCTATAAAGTACATAATTTGCTCTCACAAATATTAATAAGAAATTAAAATAGAAAACATATACTAATTCCCAAACATATATCAATAAAATGATATAACCATTCAAATGCCAAAATTAACATGTATACAACACCAACAATGCTTTCATGAAAGCAAGAGAAAGAAATGAAAACAACAATGTTTAGATTAACAGAATCAATAATGTTTAGTTAGTGAAATGAAATCAAGAATACTTAAGAGCAATGAAAACAAGAATTCTCCATGAAGAGAAAATTTGAATGCAAACTAAGCAAATCTGAACAATACATGAAATCAATTAATGAAGGCTGGAAAATACTATTAGCAAAATAGCGCATGATAATGGGGCAAAACCAAAAAAAAAAAAAGTTCTTGACTGCATCTTAATTTAGCAATGAGAATTATGATAAGTAAAGGTGAACTAAAAATTATAAAAAAAAACCTAATGAAATCAGTGATAAAATAAGCAATTAAGACCTCCAAATAATCGACAGTGACATGCCCAGTTCCTCGGTCATCCCATTTTCCCTGCTCGTTCAGGTGATAAACCTTAACACGCTGAAATAAATCGAAGTCAGTAAATCATTCATAAATTAAAACAAACTGAAGGAACTTGTTAAAACTAAACTTGCAAACATCAAACATTATCAAAATTATATCAAATAAATGCTTAAGTGACTATGAACGATGGACATAAATAACTGAGGGTTTAATGTGGTTCATATAAGCGAGCAAGCAGAAAAAACTATAAGATGGAAACTGCAATCCGCTGGCAAAATCAAAATTCTAAAAGAAAGAGAGTGTAGAAGTCACCCTCCACAAGTTGCATAAATCTACATTAACAAAGAAATTATATACCTCAAAAGCAATTAAGAATGGAGACAGGTAATATTGTGTGTTCAACAGATGGAAAATCAAGGATTTGTAACACTATAAATGGTAAACGCCAACCAACCACCCTCTCCTCAACTTAAAGACCATCTTCTAGAACTTCTATCCGCTACATTTCACAATGCAGGAACAACCTTGATTAAGCATTCTTCAACAAGCTACTTTGCAGAGAAAACCATGTGCCCACAATCCAGCTAACAAATAACCCGCCATTTTTCTCAACTTGGACAATTAACTATTGGAAGTCACTTATCTTAACAGTCATGTGCATGCACTGAGACAAATAAATCATGTCTCCATTGGCCAAACATAAATAGAAAAAATCAAACAAATATATAGTAATCATAAAGTTAATTAGTTGACAAGAAATACAAACATATGGCAATCACACACACAGATATATATATAGAAAGAGAAAAATATAAAGTTATAATAGCCATTTATCTGGAAAGCTCTTTCATAATTAATTAATTATTATATGGCCTGTTTTTTCCCCTACCTTCACAAGGGTAATTGATGCATTTATATTTTGTCTTATTTTATTTTAATGTAATGTGAACAATATTGCTTGTGTTTAATGTTTTTTTTTCTATCCAATGATGGAGAACATCCAATGATCATGGTAGGATGTGCTTGGGCATGGCAAGTCTTGGGTCTGCTTGCATTTGGGTACTTGTCCTTGGGTTGCTTGCTATTCTCAGTTTGGGGCCTTGGCTACTCTCGGGTTGGGCTTTGGCTGCTTGGTTTTGAGGTTAAAAAGTTGGGTTCTACTCGGTGCTAGCTCATTAATGCTTGAGTTGAAGTTTAGCTAATTGTTTGGAAGAGTAATTGCACTTCCTAGCTCATAAATTCATAATGGCATTCTTCTATATAGCTCATTATTGTGGAGTGGACTTGTGTCTCTTTACCCCTTCGGTTTCTTCTCCTCTGGTGCTGTTTTCGAAATGTAGTTCATTCCCCTTGCTGTGCCGTTTGCTCTCTGTTACCAGGCTGCCCATTGGGATTTCCTGTTTGCCAGTTCTGTTTACTGCTGCCCGTAGGGTCCTCTCTGTTTGTCGGTTCTGTTTCCTGCTGCCATTGGGTCTTCTCTGTTTGCCGGTTCTGTTACTGGCTGTTGTCCCGTTAATGTTAACCAATTCCTGGGAGGTTTTTTAGGATGCTTTATGGTTGACCCTTGGCCTTTCATTTCCCCAAACCTGATTGGTTTTGGTTGGAGGTGGAATGGCTGTTTGGCTTCTTTCTTTTGCTTATAAATTAGAGATGTTTTGGAATGAGGAAGGTTGTTCAATATTTGAGCAAAGTCTCTACTAAAAACCTGAGGGATTCTTCTCTTGGAAATACTTGAGAGCTTATTCCACCCCCTTTCCTCCTCTCTATTTCATCTTGGCTTCTAATATCTTCTTCTCTACTCAAGTTCCACTCCACATGTATCCTTCTTCTTGAGCATTTGGAAGTTGTTTGTTGGTTGATTTTGGGAGACATTTGCAGGGGGAGTTTGGTAGGACGTTGGACCATTTTGCAGTGGTGGACCCTCGGTTTGCAAGCCTAAGCACTATTTTTATATATCTTCATACTCTCGTAGCATGTGAGGAAACTGCTAGACAGTTGTTCTGAGGATAGCATTTTATGTTATTAATTTGTTTCGTTTGATTTGATTTTTTGTTTATCCGGATATTTGTTTGGTTGTTTGCAAGTTAAAGTGAATCGAGTTTGGTTTTATTTTGTCCCTGTGTTCTCCAACTTGGCTTTTCTTTCTAGTTTGCATGCATCAATTTGGTATCAAAGCCCGGTTTCCCCTCAAAGTTGTGAACATCCATTTTAATCCCAATTTCGTTGTCGCCTATTTTGGTTCCTAGGGACTTCTTCTTCGCTTTCAAATGTTTGGACATTATGTTGTTTAACGTTTAAATTAGCAAGTGTTAGCCATTTCATTCATCTGATTTTGCAAGCCCACTAATTGTTGCATCATATCTTGCCAATCCCCTGGATTATTAGCCATCTTATATTTCAAAAGAAAAAGACTCGCCAACCAAGGATATTCTATCTCGCTCTAATACCAAATTCATGTGTGCAAACTAAAAAGAAAAGCCAATTTGGAGAATAAAGGGACAAAGTAAAACCAAACTCGATTCATTTTAACTTGCAAACAACCAAACAAACATCCGGATAAACAAAAAGTCAAATCAAATGAAATAAATTATATAACATAAAATGTTATCCTCAGAACAATCGTCTAGCGAATTCCTCACATGCAATGAGAGTAGGAAGATATATAAAAATAGTGCTTAGGCTTGCAAACCGAGGGTCCACCACTGCAAAAAGATCCAACGTCCTACCAAACTCCTCCGGCAAATGTCTCCCAAAATCAGCCAACAAACAGCTTTCAAATGCTCAAGAAGAAGGATACAGGTGGAGTGGAACTTGCGTAGAGAAGAAGAGATTAGAAGCCAGGACGAAATAGAGAGGAGGGAAGGGGGTGGAACAAGCTCTCAAGCTTTTCTAGAAGAAGAGAGGAATAGAACAAGCTCACAAGATTTTCCAAGAAAGAAAAAAACGAATCTGAAACTGAAAATGATATTGAATTATAGAAAGTTGATGTTGAGGGAGATGAAGGTGAAGAGTTTTTGGTAATACGACAAGTCTTAACAACTAAAATTGACAGCGGGGATAGGTGGCTTAGGAGAAACATTTTCAAAAAAACTTGTATGGTCGAAGGAAAAATCTGCACTCTTATGATAAATAGCGAAAGTTCTGAAAATTTTGTGTCACAACCTATGGTTGATAAACTCAAGTTAAAGTCCAAACCACTTGAAAAATCTTATAAAATCTCTTGGTTTAAGAAGGGGGTGAGGTTCCAATCACAAAACAATGTGTTGTCAACTTAACAATTGGGGGTTCTTTTAAGGATCAAGTTATTTGCGATGTCGTGCCTCTTGAAGTCTGTCATATTTTGTTGGGTCGACCTTGGCAATTTGATCACAAAACCATTCACAATGGAGAAAAGAACACTTATACTTTGATTCAAAACAATAAGGAATTCACTCTCTATCATCAAAAACATATGCTTGATTCGCCTGCTAAAAATAAAAAGGATGCCAAAATAAACACTCCTGAACTGTTTTTAAATGCAAATGATTTAAAACACTCTAAAGTAGCTTACTTGGTTTTGGGAAAGGAAACTGGTTATATTTTTCAAATTCCTAAAGAAATTTGGCCTTTAATTTATGAGTTTTCCGATATATCACCTGAGGAATTGCCTATAGATTTGCCACCGATGAGAGATATTCAACATCATATTGATTTAATACCTGGAGCCACTTTGCCTAACCGGGGATGAGTCCAACTGAGCATGTTGAACTTTTTAAGCAAGTGACTGATTTGTTAGAAAAGGGTTTGATTAAAGAAAACTTAAGTCCTTGTGCTGTGTCTGCTTTATTAACTCCAAAAAAAATGGAACATGCAGAATGTGCTTGGATAGTAGGGCAATAAATAAAATCATCATTAAATATCGATTTCTTATTCCTAGACTGGATGACATGCTGGATATGTTAAGCGGTGCTAAGATCTTTTTCAAAATTGATTTGAGAAGCGGGTCTCACCAAATTAGAATAAGACCTGAGGATGAATGGAAAACTGCTTTTAAAACTAAAAAAGGTTTGTATGAATGGCTTGTGATGCCTTTTAGGCTTTCAAATACTCCGAGCACTTTTATGAGAACTATGAATCAAGTTTTGAGACCTTTTATTGGAAAGTTTATTGTGGTTTATTTCGAATATATTTTGATTTATAGTATTCACCCTTCTAAGCACTTTAATCATATGATGCAAGTGTTGCAAACTCTAAGGGAACAAAAGATTTACATCACTCTAAAAAAATGTTCCTTCATGACTTCGAGCTTAACATTTTTGGGTTTTATTGTTTCTACTCAGGGGATAAAAATTGATCCAATAAAAATTGAGGCAATTCAAAGTTGGCCCACTCCTAAGAATATAAATGAGGTGAGAGGATTTCATGGCTTGGCTTCTTTTTATCAAAGGTTTATTAAGAACTTTAGTTCTTTGATTGCTCCTATTACTGGTTGTTTAAAAAAGGGGATATTTAGGTGGACACCTCAGACTGAACAAACTTTTGAAGTCATTAAAGCAAAAATGAGTCAAGCTCCCGTTCTTAGCTTGCCAATTTTTGAAAATATTTTTGAAGTTGATTGTGATGCTTTTCATATTGGTATTAGTGTTGTGCTCAGTCAAGAGGGAAAATCTATTGCTTATTTTAGTGAAAAACTGAATAATGCTCGATCCAAATATTATGCTTATGACTTGAAATTTTATGTTATTGTTCAAGCTTAGAAATTATGGAGAAGTTATTTGATTCAACGGAAATTTGTTTTAAATAATGATCACGAAGCACTACGTTTTTTGGGCTCTCAAAAAATTTTGAATAAGAGGCATGCTAAGTGGGTTTCCTTTTTGCATGAGTATAATTTTCATATCAAACATAAAATTAGTATGTTAAACAAGGTAGCTAATGCTTTAAGTCGGAGATCTCATTTGTTGGTAATTGTTTATCCAACTATCACTTCTTTTGATTTTTTAAAAGATACTTATGCGAGTGATCCTGATTTTAAGAGTATTTGGGATTCATGTCTTACTTCTGGAACTGATCCTTCT